CAAAATGGCGCTGCGGAGGAGGCCCGTCGCCTCTGAGGGAAGCCTCCCGGGGGGCACCCGCGGCGGTGCTGGGCCTCTAGGAAGGAGTCCTCCTGGGGGCTCCCACCGCCGTGCGCATGCGCGGGGTGCACGCCGCCATTTTGTTTTTCAAAATGGCAACGCGTGCGACCGCGCGGGTGCGGGTGCGCAACCGTGGGGGTGCGTGCATGCCGACCCCCAACACCATCTCTCCCCAACCCGGCCCGTCGGCAAAAAAGGTTGCTGACCCCTGATCTACACTGTATAAACAATGCAGTTTGGCACCACTAAGCACTGCAGCTTCATCATAAGGGATCTTGGGATTTGTAGTTTTACAAGTTCTTTTGCCTGCTCTGCCAAAAAGTGCTGGCGCCTTAGATCCAACTCTGGGAGAAAGGAGGCATATAAATTAAGTAAATAAATAAATAGACAATGCAATTTCTTTGACAGGGGACCCGGGTCTAAACTTGAAATCTATTTATGCTTCACATACATCTTATACAAAGAGCCTGAAAGTAATTTTACACACAATATTTTTATTAACTTTGCACTGTGTACATTGGACCAACTGAAAGCAAAGGTGTCACACTGTCTCAGCCAGTTTTGACTTTTGGAGTATTTTGGATTTCCAGTAAGGCAGATTCAATCTGTATTTCCATGACTGATTTCCTTGCAAAAAGTCTCTTGCCCATTGGTGCACTCATTTGCACAAGAGTGTGCAAACAGGTATGGAATCAATTTAAGCAAATTGATTCATAATCTGCGAATTTTGTCCAACCCACAGCATACTTCACAGCATCCCATCCCTCATCCTGACAACCATGGGGGCTCCTTTTTTGCTTAGAGGGAGCTTGCCTTGGCCTTCCCTTGAAGCTGAGAGAGTGTGAGCCTTTACGTTGGTCTTGACCCATGGCGGTGACCCTCTGGATGAGACATCTCCAGGCGTCCTTTACTGTCCTCTATTGCATTGCCCCGGTCTCGCAAACTCATATTCATGGTCTCTTTAATAAAGTCCATCCATCTGGCAGCATGTGGCCTTGCTCTCTTTCTACTTCCCTCCACCTTTCCGAACATTATTGTCTTTTCCAAAGAGTCCTCATGATGTGTCCAAAGTACGACAATCTAACTCTTGTCATCTTGGCTTCCAGGGATATCTCTGGCTTGATCTGTTCTAGAACCCACTTGTTTGACCTTTTGGCAGTGATATAGTAGCCCTGTTTATATATTTGATGGGGTGTCCTATTGAGGATGGAGCAAGCTTGTTTTCTGCTGCTCCAGAGAACAGGACCCAATGGAGCAATGGATTCAAACTACAAGAAAAGAGATTCCGACTCAACATTAGGAAGAACCTCCTGACGGTAAGAGCTGTTCAAGAGTGGAAGATGCTTCTGCCTCAATGGAGGCTAGTGGAGTCTCCTTCTTTAGAGGTTTTCAAGCGGAGGTTGGATGGCCATCTGACGCAGGGTGGGCTTCGACTGAGTCTTCCTGCAAGGCAGGTTGGGGTTGGACTGGATGACCCTTGGGGTCCCTTCCAACTCTAGGATTCTATGATTTAAGATTTGAAGCTCAGCAAAGCCCATTGAGGTATTAACTAAGATGATACAAACATCTGCTGAGCTGCCTTTTCCGGCTTCATGCTTGATTTGGGCAAAATGGCATCCGCCGAAGAGGAGAACGGTCAGAAATGTGGTCCGGCAAGATCCATTTTGCAGATGATCCGGGTTCACGATGGAGAAGATAAATATGCAGGATCTGTTTCAAGCCCTCCAACTGGCTGGGCAGGCATGCTCCATCAACCGGAGCAGTGAGATACGATCTCCCCATTGCTCTTTCTCCTCTGCCCCGAAAACCCCGGCAAGAACGAAGACAAGAAACATTAGTCTCGCCTGAGCGGAAACGGAGGGGGAAATAATGCTTTGTAGCAGCAACACTTTTGTACCAGCAAATCTGCTGCTGTAATTCAACAGCACACTTGCCCAAAAAGAGCTTTTTTTTCCCCCAATGGGCTGCCTCTCCTCTTCTATATATAGCATAGCCTTCTTTGCCATAAGGCAACGTAGGAATTTCCCTCTCCCTCGTGATGTTGTGGTTTTCTTTTCAACGGTTCCATAATCTGAGTGCTAGAGAGAGAGAAAGAGAGGGAGAAACATCTGCTCCAGATGTTAATAATAAATAATAAACGATAATAATAAGAATCAAAAAACCAATGTCCGAGAGGGACGAACAGCTGACCGCACATGAAATGGATTTGTGCAATTTCACTCGGTCAGTGAAAATTATCCATGCGTGCCGAAAACATGGTTGCCAGCACACACTTGAGGTTCTTGTGCGTCAGTTGCCATTTTAACACAAATCTGCAGGCCTTACAAAGCTCCCAAAATCTTCATTTCCTATAATGCGATCTTATCTTTTTTCCTTCATTAATTTTTTCCTTCTATGTATAAATAGTATTACAAAGAGATCGACGGAGAGCATTGCCTTTCTCCAGCATGCAAAAAAGTTTTTATTTAGGCAGACTTTTTAACACAATAATCATGACAAGGGTAGTATAATATGGGGAGTGTGGTTTAGTTATGTTTTAACTTTTTGTATGTTTTATGCTAATTTTATACTGTTTTAATTAGATGATTTTTAACTGTTTTTTTAAATTCTTAGGGTAAGTTTTTAATATGTTTTATCTTGTGAGCCGCCTTGGGTCCCATTCTGGGAGAAAGGCAGAATAATAAATAAATAAATATAAGAGTTAGATGGTGGTAAGAGAATAAATTAGAAGAATGAAAAGAGGAAACATGATGAGATCTTAGGAAGAGGAGGAACTGTTACATGAGTCGGGCCACGAACTGGAAACATAAGGAATGCCAATTAGGAGCATATGTTAAGTAAATTAAAAGTAAGGAAACAAATGAGTGTGAAAATAAAAGAGTGTGTTAGAAGGTAGGAAGTATTTGAGGATGAGGGAAGGTGAAGATGGAGGGAAGAGAAAGAGGAGAAGAAGAAATAAACATACAGATTAAGAGATGGAGTGAAGGAGGAAAAGAAAGACTAGGGAAGAAGAAGGAGAAAAAGAAAGGCGAACCAGAGAGTGGAGGAAAGAGAGAAAGAGACTATAAGATTGAAAAAGAAGGAAGAAATAGGAAGAATGTAAAAGTGAATAAGAAGGACTTCTCTGAAGACACCAGCCACGGATGCTGGCGAAACGTCCGAAAGAAACTCTTCTAGAACATGGCCACACAGCCCGAAAAACCCACAAAAAACTATGAATACGAAGGAATAGGGAAGATAAAACATTTTGAGTATATGGGAGATGTCGATCGAACAAGATGATAACTTGGGAGTGGGTGTTTGTTATATTGTAAGTGTTATCCTATAATAATGATACTTCTCTGCTTGTAAATTGAATCACAGAATCATAGAATCATAGAGTTGGAAGAGACCACAAGGGCCATCCAGTCCAACCCCCTG